TTTGAATCATTCAATTCGGATGCTTATTTCTCTCAAAAACTGCCATTTTTTGTACATTTAGCTCTGTATCTTTGAAACAGCTAAACCTGTCTTTGCCAAAAAGTAATCACCTTCTCCCCGTCTTCACGAATTGAATGTTTTTTAGATCAATCAAATCGGACGCACCGTTCTCTCAAAAACTCGATTTCTATTTTCTGCACTCTTTGCTCTTTATCTCCGTAATAACTGGATCTGCCTTTGCCAAAAACTAACCAGCACATCTCCCTATCAATAGGAATCAAATGTTTTTGAAACTATTCAAATCGGTTGACCCGTGCGCCCGAAAACGTGAACGAAAAAATGTACACATACAAAACACACACACACATCCATTTTTTCTTTGGTATGCCAAAATGTTCAGAAATCTTCAAAACGTGAATATATGCAAAAATTTTCATTTTCGATTTTCGGCTCATTACTATAATTACTCTTCGGGAAATCAAATGTAGTCTCGCTCTTGTATTAAAAACACCTAGACTAAACTTGCATCATGTGCCTTCATGAATTTCAGATACTCTGAAACTAAGCATTTCCTGTCCTACTGGAAACTAAAATTGACCATGAAATACAAATGAAGTATGTATATATTAAATCTATCTTTTGCACAGGTGAATCGATTATTTTATAATAATTATGCATTTATCATATTACATAAATGTGGTATCCGAGCAGCCTCGGATCATGATCGGATGCGCGTGTCCACGCCTGGCACTTCTTGTTGGTATTGCGTCAGTTTCTATACGCGGCCCTACCTAAGTTCTTCAAACTTTGGATGACTGATTTCAACATATTGTTCTTAGGTTGTGTAACTGGAAGAAATTAAGAGAAGAAACCATCTGTTTGCACATATGGTTTACGAACTGCTCTAGATTCAAATTCCGACCTTTGTAAGGATAAATAAATAACTCTTATTAATGAGAAGTAACTAGGTCAAAATAGGTACGAACAAATATTTTCATTTTATTTACATATATATATGATCTTAAGAATAGTCATCAAGCAAGAAGTTAGTCATAGTAACCAGTATCACATTTACATGATGATCTATCCTCAATGGTATTGTTTTGCTCAATATGTAACCGTAAACAGGATCACACTTACTAATCACGGTGGTAAGTGACTCATTGTAAACTCTGACTTTACCATGACAAGGTCTCTCTTATCAACAAATAACATGCTCAAACACGTCAACATCAAATGGAACCATGACCGAATAAAATTACTGGAAGAAAATATGTCAACCCTAAGGAGTAATTGAACTATTGAGAAAACTTAGGTTAGAATAGACAAAAAAAATGTATCAATCGTGTTTTTTCATTAGATTTGTGGTAGTGTTAGAAATTATAGTTAGAAATCATTTGCTACAACATATTTAATTTGCAAAAGCAGAATTAAATTCCAGTTCAATTCATAGGTAGCATCGGCTACGTTTCCGATGAGGATATTTGCAATTAGAAACAAAAATTTTATCTATAATTGAGCTCAAATGATATACCGTATTGCTACAATATAAAAGCCCTGTCCACTAAATTTATATTCAAATTTCTCACAAATTATTAACACTATCAAAATTTCATTATGTTAAAAGACGGGTTTTCCAAATCCAAAGCTCTTGTTACTTTCGAAAATCTCATTATTTTCTTTCGTCTGAAATGCATTAACTTTACATAAGTATCACTAAATTAAATCTAAGTTTTTCTTTTATTCTGATTGTTTGAATTAATTCGTCTATTCCGTAAGACATTTGGTAATTAATTTATAAATTTCACAAATTACAAATTAGTCACAATTTAGTTAATTAGTAATTATTTTCTAAATGTGACATATTTCTAACATTTTTAACTTTCCGTAAGGTTGTATATCGTCCAAAAATCGAAATTGAAAATTTTTACATTTCTCCACGTTTTGAAGGTTTCTGAACATTTTGGCATACCTCAGAAAAAATTGATGAATTTGTGTATGTGTGTGTGTGGGTATGTATGTATGGATACAATTTTTCGTCCACGTTTTCGGGCGCACGGATCAATCGATTTGAATTCGATTGCTATTGATAGGGAGATGTGCAGGTCCATCCATTTCTGAGATATGGAGCTAAGAGTGCAAGAACTAGAAATCGAGTTTATTTGGCATATCGAGAATAATTCAGATTTTAATTTTAATTCTAGCTAAAGTTCTAAAGCTCACTTATATTCTTTAAATAAATAATTTTAACTTTGTAATTCAGTTTATATAACTCTTATAAATATCAGACAATGCTACAGTATTTATAATAATCTATATGAAAACATTTATGTAATATTCCTGAAAAATTTCGTTACGGTACGGAAAGTTCCAGCAATTTGCCTTAAGGCACGATGCCATACACAACTAGTTAGTTAATATTTTGACTTAATTATTTTTGCAGCAATGCTTTCAAAGAAAATGACGTTACTACTGCTTGATATGCTACTGCGTGGGTATTGAACCGAAATCATTACATTCTTAATTAGTATTCTGATTTAATTATTTTTGCAGCAATGCTTCCAAAAACTATTTTCACATGAGATCATACCTAAGCTCTATAATGCAAGGTGAAAATCTGAAATTCTATTGCTTGATATCAAGCTGGCCAAAATGGGTGTCAAACCCGAAACCAATGCTTGCTAGACCAGGAAAGCTTAAGTTAAAAAATTTGATTCTATTTTTTCCAAATTTTCTATTAGTTGTAGTAAAGCCAAAACAACTTCATGAGTCGATGCTAAAGATCAAATCCGGTGCTGTAATTAATATCAGTTATTAATCACACGAAAATAAATAACTCTACATATGTATTATAAATAAAAGGAATTTTAGTTTAACTATAAAATTTTTATTCCATATTTGATATTTCATCATTTAGCCTTATTTCCGATAAGACGAAAGAGTCGATCAATGTCACCCGACTGCGTGACTAATGTTTTGAAACTCTGGCGAATCGTATCCAATTATAGATTAGCAGACTTTTTGTTAAAAGTATGGCTTCAGCTCAAGAAATAAATTGAAGTGTTGTAATATTGATAACGGCGATTCAATGGTAAAAATGATGGTGATGATAAGAAATGTTGACAACTTCCACGAAAAAAACCAATGCACCTGCGTAAATCTGGCAGAAGTATTTCGAATAAACACACCATTGTGTAAATACAATAGAAGAGCTTATCGCAATGCTCTGATATAATGAAGATATGGTGTTAGATTGCCATCGTCGTTTTGAAGAAAACGATTTATTATAAACTTTTAATTCAAAGCATATTTCATTCTGTTTCATCGGCTTACAATTAGTGACAAGAGCCATGGCTTCAGGTTTCAGGTTCTATCAGACAGCCTGATGAACTCTAAAGCATTTTTCTAGTTATCTTTACATTCGTCAGTCTTCATTTTTAATTTGACAAAATTTTGATAAAAACCTAATTTATGATTTATTAAACATGATATCTTCTAAAATTGAGAAATACTTGTTAAATATGAAGTATCCATTAATCTTCGTTGGGAAACTCTGGTATATCTGTTGTAATCTTATCGCGTTCGCCTTGGTTTGTTAAAGGTAAAATGTTCGATTGACACACCACACACAATACAATAACAATATACTAGAAAGAACTATGAACGTGGACTCTTGTTTGAATGCCAAAGTCCGACCGAACGGACAACCATCACAATCTTCAACGACATTGTTGACAGAAATAAGAAATTATTAGTTACAGAGATTTTAGCTAATTTTACAATGTTCCTACAGATACTATATCATAAATTAACAATATAGACTATAGACATATGTATAGACAATAAAATTATTTGACTACTGGTAATATTTCTTTCACTCATTCCATTATTATCCAACAAAAATATTAAAATACTCTCAACTTTAGTAACCCCACAAAAGAATATAATGCTATTGCCCATTAAATTGACATCGAAGGAATGATTTGAAATAAAGTAAAAATGGAACCAAGTACAGTATGCATATGACATTTAAAAAATGCAAAAGATCTTATAAAAATGATAGATTCTTCGAATTGCTGAAGTATTGTATCATTCAAAAGCTATGTTACTGAAGCATTTTACTAATGAAGCCGTCCTCTGCAAAACAGAACCTGGCTGAGTGTATTTTCAGACTTCTCACGAAAGCCCCAAGAAATCTTAATTGCCATTCCGGTGTTTGGAATAAACATCCGCATTAAAGACTATCACAATTAAGTATAAATCGTTGATTTTCCCATTAAAATCAATGGGAAAATGACAATTCATTACATAGTACTGATATATACATAGTGCTGAATCATGTCAATTACAAATATTTTGAATAAAGTAATTTTATAACATTATAACATTTGATTTTCTGTAAAGCCTTACAAATATATGAAGAATTAGTATAGATTGATTTTTAAAAATTATACCTAAATTCCGCACTTTGGAATTCCTTTCCAGCTAAGCGATTTTTGCTTTATAAACTTTACCAATACCATACAACCATGCAAGCTACTATTTTATCAATACTATTAATTTTATTAAATATATTTAGATAGGATCATCTTTCTCTGTATATTTTTTTAAATAACTGCGTCTATTCCATTATGGAACATCAGCAAATTTTTGGCAGTAGGTACTTAGAATCTAAATCGAATGCCAATCCAGTAATTGGACGTCCGGGTATGACATTTTCTTCATTTTTAAAGAAAAGAATATTTTTAAAGCAACTCAACCTCTACCTTACATCTTTACCTTGAACAATGTTTCTTCGAATCGATTATGTAAGTTCGAGGCTACTCTATAAGTCGTATATCATTACAATAATTTATACTATTGTATTATATATACGTAGACAATGCTGCAATTGTGATACCACAAACTAATGTTAATTATCGGTAATAAGCCCTTAAGTTTCATTTGGCAAATTCAATAATAAACTCATTTGTACAATTACAATTAAAATTATTTCTTACCTCACTTTGTGGTGAATCAACTTGCTCTATCCTCAACAATTCCTGCTCCCTACGATCAATCTCCTCCTCAACTGCCATGGCATCGCTTGCGCCAACCTTATTTCTACGTCTTCCCGTTCCCAGACCAGCTGCTTGGCCAACTGGAGGAACATGATGGTTCATCTCATGCACAGTGAAGACTTTGCTTTATATCTGCTGCAAAATTGCATGCACCACACCTGAAAGCGCCCCAACCCCCGTGATTTTTCATATGCCTGTCCAAATTCCATTTGTACGGAGTACGAAAGTCACACAGATCACATTTAATCATAGGCATCGAATGGTATTTGACGTGTTTCGTGTAACGTGCTTTTATGTGCGTCACATAGCTGCATTTGCCGCAGCGGAAGAATTTTGCGTTCATATGTTGCTGACCATGCTTGGTCAGTTGGGAAGAACTTGTGGTAGTGAAAGGACATAAAGGGCACTTGAATTTGGACCCGTTCGTTGGAGTAAATGTTTCATCCTCTTCTTCGCTTTCTAACACAGGCTCTACTACTTCTAATTCCACAATAGGCTCCACGGGTTCTTCCACTTCCTCCGGAACCGGAGCTGGTGCTTCAACGATTTCAGTTTTCGTATTCTTTTTCTTTTTCTCGTTTTCTTTAGTAATGCGTCTTCTAGAAAAATCTGGTAACTCTACGCCATCACAGCTTCTGTGTACCATTTTCATATGCCTAAGTAATTTCTGAAAATGCCTTGATGCATAAAGACAGTTCGGACATTCGTAATCCGAACTTTCTCTTTGTGGACATCTCGTAAATGTTGCAAGAAATGCCGCGGGTTCTGAGTAAAATACTTGCAGTGTGTGCAAGTGTAGTTTCTTTTTATCTTGCATTGTGGCAAATCTTTTTCTTCGTCTATGACCAAGTTGCCGTCTTGTTCCTGTTGGAACTGGTGAGGCTGGTGGCGTACTGCTCGGAGAAGTGGGATTTCCATCTAGGAATAGTTGATCACCGCTAACCACGCTGCGAACGATCAACGTATCGCCTGATCTTTGCACCATTGAGGGCGCTGCCATTTCATATATTCATCATCTGAAATAAAGAAAAAAAAATTAGTACATATAGAGAATTAACAATGAAAATTGTATATATTATGCACATAATTTATCAATCAAGTAGAACTTATTCGTGAATTCAATTTAGGGGGCGTCCATTAATCACGTGAGATGTTTAGGGGGAAGGGGGGTTTGACAAAAAATAACAAAATATCACATAGAGGAGGGATGGGTATCGAAAGATATCACGTGTATTTGTTTTTTAACTATTTTTTTCAAAAAAGTTCAAATATTTAAAAAAAAATCAAACATTTTACAGTCTTTTCACGTAACTAAATATGCACGTGATACTTGGTGAGGGAGATGGGTTAATTTTGAATATCACCATGTATCAACAAGGGGGAGGAGGCGTCCAAAAATTTTTAAAAACTCGCTCATGTGATTAATGAAAGCCCCCTTATTTACTATGAATCTAGGATAATGATGTTTCACATTCAAAACAAAAATTATTACATAAAATTTGTAAATGTTTTTAAGTTAATGAAGTAAATTCCTTGATGTGGTTCATTCTATTGATAAAGAGGTTTAAACAATTGTTTTCTAAACCTTTTGAATGTTTAACATTCAAAACAAAAATTATTACATAAAATTTATAAATGTTTTTAAATTAATAAAGTAAATTCCTCATTCTATTGATTTAAGAGATTTAAACAATAGTTTTTTTTACAAAGTTCTTTCTGTTCTAACAACCAAAAGTTACATCCATGATGGGTATTTTCCACGCAAATCTTTAATCAAAACAATTGTAATAAATGTTCTTCATAGTGGGTATAACTCGTATAGATAACATAAATATTTAATAGATTAAATACAATGATGATACAATTTAATTTCAGGAAAATTATGCTGGAAAAATATATGTAAATGACTCATTGCTCAATTAGAAAATCAAAACCAATATCACAATAGAAGTTTACATTACATTTGTAAGTTTAATTTATAAAAGCTCAATATATAATTAAGGCACTCATGTAAATTGGAAAAAAATATTATTAGACCATGTAATGATTTAATATTTATCCTATGACTAGCTATTTAAATTTTCTTATTTAAATAAATTGAATATTTTACTTAATTTCACTTATTTCAGTAAATCTTAGAGTCAGTTAATCTTATTGTTACGAGCAATGAATTTCATTGTAAACAAATTATTTAAATTATTTATTTTTAAATTATATATAGGAATTGAAAATATTTATTACAATATTTTAGTGATTTTGTGGTCAATTTCATTGCAAGATGCTAAATAACCCATATACTCATATACCAAAAAAGTCAATAACTAATTTTGCAAACATCATTATTATATACCAGGAATTTTAATTTTAACGATATTGAACAAAATAATCATAATTAAATGCTTGAAAATTGATATATACTTTTATATCAATAAAGTCATACTATTAGATTCTGGAAAAATTCTTTATGCTATTGGCATCATATATATACTAAAAATATTTTTTATCATAAAATAAAAATAAATGCAGGAGAATGAAGCAGAAAATTATTAAAACTAATTTTTAATTAAATTCATGTTTATTTAAAATTTTATGCTTCCGATTCAAATTATTGCCATGCAACCATTTGATTGGGTCTTTATATAGAGCAGACCTCTAAAATCAACAAAAGTCAAATAGCTTCTAAAAATAAAAAAATAATTATGATTCCATAATCAGTGCGTTGAACAAACATATAGCAATAATTCTCATCATGTGTGCTGTCTGTGCCGAAAACGAAAGTAAAAGCTTTTGTATAACGAAGCTCTTAAACGTATTTACCGTTTCATTTGCACTTTCGTTGATGATAACGTGTTTTGTTATGATGTATATTTTTCGTATTAATTACAAGCTTTACACCTATACTCGTAAGTGAAAAAGCTTATTCATAAAATATAGAAACATGGGCGGGAGCAACCAAAAGAAGTTGTATCCCATTTTATACAAAATTGTTGATCTTATTCTTGTTTTGATTTAAATATTATAATAATTGTAAGTCACACGTCAATTATGAGTGTATTAATTTTTAAAATAATCATCTTACTTCTGAAACAAATTAATATGGTGCTCTATATGAATAAATTATTACCGAGCAAAATCTGTCGAACGCTGTTCCACTTACGGAGATCAGCAGCCCGCGGTTTGTGCTATCTACAGCATTTCTTAACATTAATGCGTTTATATCAGTTTAGTTATGTAAATAGTCGATGATATATTATAATAATTAGAAATTTAAAATTTATCACTGTGTCTCTCGGCAATGGAATGGAACTATCCGACCTATACGTCCGTCCGTCGGTTGTGGATAGCGGCTTCACTTACATACTTGTTAGCTCTATGCGACACGACCTGATTGCCTTATCTCTAGTTATAATATTATTCTGTAAATAAAGATATTCTTTTGTGGTTTAGGAATATGTTGTGTCAAGTTTGTAAACAACTTTGTCTCGCAAATATCATTTTAAACTGAATGATATGTATTCAAAATGTAATGGATGACACATATTTTTCTTCAAATTTGATATGACTGCATAAATGAATTAGGGGGCGTCCATTAATCACGTGAGGTTTTTAGGGGGAGGGGGGGACTTGTGTTGACAAAAAGTCACGAAATATCACGTGGGAGGGGGAGAGGTATAGTAAGATATCACGTGTATTTATTTTTTACCAGATTTTTTTCAAAAATCAAAACATTTTCAAAAAAAATCGAAATCTTACAATTTTTCCTCTTAACTAAAAAATCACGTGATGTTTGGTGGGGAAGGGGGATTAAATTTGAATATCACCACGTATCACTAAAAGAGAGAGGGGGTCTAAAAATCCTTAAAAAAATCGATCACGTGATTAATTGCGCCCCCTTATGCGGTTAACTTTACATTGGGCAGTTAAAAAAGTCGATCAAAAATAAATTTCCTATTGAAAAAAGCTAGGTGTAAAATGGCACTGTAAAATCTTTCCAAGTACCAAGTTTTCTTTAAAAAAACTACAAAAAGCAATCAGAAATACATAAAGATTTTTAATTTTAAAATTCAAGTATATAGTTGAACTATATACTTGAATTTTACAAATGTCCTCGAGTTGGAGTTCAACTCCGCTCACGGACCTACCCTAGGCAACACTACACTTTATGAATGAAGATAATGTTCTGCATTTTTATTACAACGTATGTATTGTTAATTCAAAGATTTGGTTATTCTATAGATTTATATTTGATTCTATAGTTATATTTATTCCTCAATACTCGAATGCTTACAAAGACTCAATGTTTGAAATTTACAAAGATTGTGATAATTCTGTTTCTCACATTCAACAATCTATATTTGACTTCAGAGGAATTCAAAACTTTCAAAGAATAATGTAGTACACTGATAAATGCCTCTTCGGCAAATAGGTGCGGAATGGTTAATCCTGTTCTATTTTTCTTTGTGGCACAAAATGTATTTGAAAAACATAGTAAAATCTTGTTAAGATGATTTCCCACAGACCGGAGCCAAAACGAGTTTTTTTCGAGAAAACGTAATATGCGGGATACAGACAATCCGTGCAAAAGTGTAGAAATGGAAGAAATTGTATTAAGTATAATCGTCTTATTGAGGTCAACTGAAAATAGTTTAAGACTAATCAGTATTACTAATTAATCTAAACTACACGTGGTGGCCAACATGGTAAAATTCACTCTTATTTTCTAAATCTAAAACGTAAATTAGGTCTATATTCTGCACATTGAATGTGCAATAATATTGTATATTTTAGACAATTCAGTATCAATTTTAGTTTCACGGTTAAATAATAATTCTTTTATGAACCAAACCAACTTAAACAAATCTTCGGTTCAACGATTTAAGTGACAATAACTTTTACGATATATCATAAAAGGGTTTATGAACCATATAAAGGGAATCAACATGTCAACACATTTCAAAACTCGAATAAAACTTATTCGAAATCTCTGAAAGCAAGCGAAAATATCTGGAAAGTTTATTTCACTAAAATAACTAATAATAATGACAAATCATTTGCTTGTTAAGAGTCGTATTTTAATAATTTTGAAGATGATATAAAATTATAGAGTTTATGAGAATAAATTTATAATATCTAATATAGCAAATATGCTAGATGATAGATATTTCTTCAATTTAATAATTTAATATAAATTTAAATTGATGAGTGATCAATTATGTAAGATTTCAACGTGCAAGTTAAGACAAGCATATTTGTAACTTAAAATTTAATATTTTAAATAAATGTTAAGGGGAGCGTCCATTAATCACGTGAGATTTTGAGGGGAAGGGGGCGAAAAAATCACAAAATATCACATTGGGGAGAAAGGGGTATAGTAAGATATCACGTGTATTCATTTTTACCTGAATTTAAAAATATCCAAACATTTTCAAAAAAAATGCAAAAATTTTACCATTTTTTCTTGTAATTAAAAATACACGTGATGTTTGTGGGATAATTTTGAATATCACAACGTATAACCAAGGGGGAGGGGGGGGGGTCCATAAATCCTTGAAAAGTCGATCACGTGATTAATGGATGCCACCTAAATAAGTTTGTTTCTAAGTCTAAGTGATGTAGGATTGATTCTATTTATTATAAGTAAAATATTGTGACAAAAGGGTGTAATTCTCTTACCCAAGAATAATTCCCAATTATAATGCTGATTCTTGGGGTAAATATTAACAGTAATAAAAGTATTTTTCAAACCTAATCTCTAAAATAAAGTATGCCAAAATACGTACTACATAAATTTTAATTCGTACCTCCGGTCTAATGAAATATAAAATTAATCACCCATACTGATAACACTGGAAGTTTTCTACCGTATTGCAAAATAATAAAACGGACAACAAACCACATTACGAAACATGAAAACGTGCAATCGGCACATTTTAAGAAGCGCATCAGCAGCAATAATAAAATAAAATAGATGAGTTGATAGAACTACGCGACAATGTTCCTATGACGTCATACGATT